GTTATCCCACGCTGCCTTCAATGGAATGCAGTTCCTGTTCTGCCCCCAAAAACGGGGTCCCGCCCCTATCCTAACCCCGTTGGCTGTTTCCCCTGCCTTTCCCCGGTTCCTGGGTTCCTCCTGGGTATTACCTCCCCGTCTCTCTCATTGGCTGGCCAAGTAGCCAAACCCCTCCCTTCCTCCCAGAATCCTTATACGCTGCGGGAAACTTGAATACAGTCTTTCTGCCCACCTACCTGCCTGCGTGCCGTGTGTTCACTGCTGCGTCCTGCACCTGGGCCCACAGCGCTGCAATTCCATCCCGGTGAGGTGGATAGCGGAGAGCATTTCCCTTTTAATCCTGTCAAATGGTGCCCCGTGTGAGGAACTCCGCCTGCATTTCTACCGTGTAGAAATTCTTCCGGACGTTTCTGGGCTCAAGCGACAAAGTGGAATTTTGGCTTCGCGCTCGGACGGATTCTACAACTCAGCTTTGGATTTCGACCTGCCTAGATGTTGAGGTAGGCCAGCAGTTTTATAGTTCACTCAACCCTATTACCCCTGGTAATCATGGGTTTAATATCCTCCAAAAAACAGCAGGATACCTACAAGCATTTGAAAAACTTTATCTACCTTCACGGACATACGTTAGATAAACAGTCATTAAAAGCTCTAATTAAGTGGATTTCCAAGAATAATCACACAGTTCCCTGTATACTCACCTATGAACAATGGGACAAATTGGGACTTAAATTGTGGAAAGCTACACAGGCAAATGACGCTCTCGCGTCCCAAGCCTCCATCGCCTGGCATTTGATTTTAACTTTGTTGGAAAAAACCGAAAATATAAATTCTGGGGTGGGAGAGGGGGAGGTAGAACAGGGTTTCTGTCGATGCGCGCGTATGGCGTTGGGAACAGCTGTAGCGGGGAAAACTATACCCTTTGCAACGCTATCTAAGCCAGGGCTTGCCGTGGCATTTTCACCCCTCCAGCTCTACAGTGGCCCCAGTCGCATGGCCACCTCGCCCCCTCCCCCTTCCCCACACGCAAACAGCAGCCAGCACCAGCCCATGCCCCAGGGCTGGGTGGCTCCCCCTGACCCCACAAGGGTGACCTCAGCTTTCCTAGCTGCATCTCAGACTGCTGGCGATTACTCTGCCATTCAGCCGGGTGGCGCTGTCCTGCCCTCAATACCATCGAGTTTTCCCAGTCCTTGGGGGGACAGACCACCATCTCAAGCCCCACCCATGTCCCATCTTCCGGAGGTGAGGGCCTCTCAAAATGGCCGCGCCCAGGTACCCATTTTACCGGAGCCATGTGCTCCAGCCATTCAAAGTTACAACCCCTTACATCAGGGATCAGCCGCAAATGATTGTTATTTCAATGAGGCATATCCTGTTTATCGACGCAATAACCGTCCTCCCCACTGGAGCCCATTGCCTTTGCCACTCCTTAAAGATACAAAAAAGGCAATAAGCGATTATGGTCTCAGTTCACTCTAGAAATTCTGAGGTCATTATTTGCAGGTTACAACCTGACTCCAAATGATATGAGAACGTTATCAGACGCATTTTTTACTAAAATGCAAAACACTCTTTTCCTACAAGAGTGGAAAACATTAATACGCAAACATGCAGAACAAATATTCCCCACCACTGGTACCCCCATTGATACCACCATTGACAGGATGTTTGGCACTGGGCCATTTTCATGTAATGACGCCCAAGCCACAATCCCTTTAAATGATTGGCAGAAATCTAAGTCCCTAGCTTTTGAGGCAATTCACAGTATTGCAGAAACCTCTGAAACCACTGAATCCTATACACAAATCCGTCAAAAACCGACAGAGCCTTTCCTGGACTTTGCTGAGAGATTGAAGGATGCTCTCACAAAACAATTTAAAATTCCAGAGGCTCAAGATTCTCTGTTTCAAAAATTAGCCATAGAACAAGCAAATGCAGACTGTCAACGTATTTTAAGGACACTAAAAGACCCTACCCCTATGGATAATGGTTAAAGCTTGCCGAGATGTGATACCCACCACCCCCGATAATCCACCACAAGCTGAAGCAATGGCTGCACAACACCACCGAACTGTTTCCATTTGCAACCATTGCAAAAGGCCGGGTCACTTTAAAAGGGACTGCCCTCATCTGAATAGAGCCCCTACAGTGCCACCCAGCTTGTGTCCCCGATGCAGAAGGGGGTTACACTGGGCATTGTAGGTCGCACTATGACAGAGAGGGGAATCCACTCTCACCAAGACTCCCACAAAAGCTGACCCCGGTTCTGGGAAACGAGGAACTGAGCGCTTAGGGGAGCGCTATGATATAAATTGCCCCTCATCCCAGCCAAAACCACCGGCCCCGCCCACTCCGGCACACTCACGCTCGGCAAGTGTCTCTAGAGTGGAACTAGCATCTCCCCACCCAATCACCATACACAGTGATGATTATCAACAAATTCTTGTAAAACCAACTGGTGATTCACCAGTGCCTCCTGGACAATACATCCTAACTGGAACTTCTACCTCAGCTGAAACAGGTATAACGGTACTACCTCAGTCAGTAACAACGGACAATCCCAAGGTAATAGAGGTGACTGTGAAAGCTTTGTTTCCACCTGTGGAGCTTGACACAGACACACCTATTGCCAATCTAACCCCCATCGAAACAGAGGAAAACAACTTAGACTCTATGCCTACGGTTCAATGGACACAGTCTATTTTGCTTGATCGGCCAATGCTAACCTGTTCTGTGTTTCTTCCCAACTCTAACCAGTGTGTTCAAGTTAAAGGTCTTATAGATACAGGAGCTGATGTCACCATCTTCGCGGAAAAAGATTGGCCAAAGGAATGGAAGACCACCAAGCCCTACATTGATATCAGAGGAGTAGGAGGAGCTCAAACACCACTTCAAAGTACTTTCACTTTACTAATTGAAGGGTCAGAAGGTAAAACTGCTTCAGCAAGGCCCTATGTCCTTAATATTCCAATGACCCTTTGGGGGAGGGATATAATAGGACAATGGAACATCCATCTCACCACCTCAAATTTAGTCTTGAGGCCACTGGAGAGCCGCAGTCCCCTGCCCTTACATGGCTCTCAGATGAGCCCATCTGGGTATCCCAGTGGCCTCTAAAAGGGGAAAAACTGCGGCAAATTAAACTGTTAGTAAATGAACAACTTGAAAAAGGACATATTCTGCCAACAGATAGTCCCTGGAACTTCCCCATTTTCACAATACAAAAGTCCAATGGAAAATGGAGACTGTTACAGGACTTAAGAAAACTAAATGAAATAATAGAGCCTATGGGGGCTCTCCAGCCAGGACTTCCTTCACCAAGTATACTGCCTTCTAATTGGCCTATTGTTATTATTGATATCAAGGATTGTTTTTTTAACATCAGGTTAAACCCTAAAGACTCTCGCAGGTTTGCATTTACTGTGCCTTCAACTAATGCAGAAGAACCCTCTCAGCGCTACTGCTGGGCTGTCTTACCTCAGGGTATGAAAAACAGCCCCTCTATACGCCAGAGAGTGGTCGCAGACGTCTTGTCACCAATTCGGTTACAATTTCCAGAGGCCATCCTATATCACTACATGGATGACATGCTACTAGCTGCAGAATCCAAGACACAGCTTGATCAACTGCATCAATCTGTAAAAGCTGCACTGTTAACACATGGCCTGGAAGTAGCACCAGGAAAAGAACAAGTGACAGTTCCCCGGAAATACCTGGGATTTCAAATCAATAACACTTCCATTCAACCCCAAAGTGTTTCTTTACCTACTAATATTTGCACTTTAAATGACTTGCAATCTCTTTTAGGTTTAATTAACTGGATTAGACCTATCCTAGGGATAACAACAGATGCCCTGCAACCACTATTCCAGCTCCTGAAAGGTGAAGCAGATCTGACTTCCCCTCGGCATTTGACACCTGGAGCAATAGCAGTACTAAAAGACATTAATCAGAGACTGAGTTCTTGTCAAAGCAAAAGAAAAGTCTGTGGGTTACCTGTTATTGTGGTTATATTTAAAGGAATCAAACAACCTTATGCTGTAATGGGACAACTTGATTCAAAAAACAAGAAAAAATTCCTTTTAAAATCGACTCTCCCTCCCTGTCTGTTGCTCTCCCTAAAGGAATATTCTTTATCTGTGGACTCTGGGTATGAAAATCAATCCCAAAAGGGGCAGTTGGAGGGCCTTGCACCTTTGGGCAACTTACATTTTATAATCCGGCTAAAACATTACCCTCCCTAGGTGATGTTCCCCCCAAAAGGATCACAAAACGGGAACTATCCATTAAAAGGAATACAGTCCCTCAAACACCCCCTGACACTCTGCCTCACCATCATCCTTTATTAAAATCCCAAAATTTACAACAATTCAAAGAGAACTGTGATTCTAATCTCAATTTTTGGTCCCACAGTCGAGACACGTGGGGCAGTATACTCATTCCAGCAATTGGGACCTCACATGCCCTAAACTTGCTAGCCAGCATGAGGTGTTGGTTAGCCAAAGAAGCGAATGCTACAAGCATAGCCATAGAAGATCTCTTATTAGATTCACAACGAACTGAAAAAGCCACTTTACAAAATAGAGCTGCCATAAATTTTCTGTTGCTAGTTAACGGACATGGGTATAGTGAGTTTGAGGGTCTATGTGGTTTAAATTTCTCAGACCACTCTCAGTCCATCC